TAAATATTCAAATTCATCCCTATAATGGAATTCTGCATTAGGTCATGCATTAGTAGGGAAGCAGGAAACTATTGTCTCATCAAGTGGACTTCTAGCAAGGAGATGACCAAAATTGAAGAGTAAGCCAGTAAGGAAAACCAGGATTGAGACCTGGTTAACCAGCAGTATGACAAGACCTGGGGACCTCTGCACCCAGGGGCAGGGACATGGCCCCAGAAGACTAGAACGGAGTGTGAAGCATCCAGCTGATATGAAGTGAGAGGAGATGCACAAGAACACCCACACTCACAGATAGTACCCATTTGACCTGGCATCAATGGCTGGATGATCAGAACACAACTAGAGGAAGAAAGAAGAGGGGGGGGGGGAAATAAAGAGTAACCCACTACAAGTGGATGAACTCAACCTATGCTTGTGGATGCAGTATGACAAAGGAGCAGACAAATCTCTACAATGAGGATCATTCCCACCCCCATGGTACACAGGGTCGACAGGGATGGGGAACTTAGACATTGGCAACCCAAAATGGGGGGACTACAAAGGCAAGAAGTGACTGGGTTACAAGCTTTCAATAGGGAACCTAGCTCCATAGGATACAGGGAAAGGTAGAATCTCCACTGAATTTTTCCCAACCTGTCTGGAGGGGGTTGATAAAAGGTGAGGGGGAAAGGACTCCTGTGGTTCAATAGGGAATGATTGCTATCAGGTCTGACAGTGGAAAGGTAAATGTAAATGTTTGGTAACAAAAGGAGGGGAGTGGCAGATTTTACAGTCCAGGAGCAGAGATCCCTGGAACCATCAAGAGAGAAAAGCGACCCTGTTGGGGAAGCAGTGACACCAGGGATGGAGGCAGAAATGATGACATGGACAGAATGAGTGGCTGGGGACTCTGGACTCAGGGAGGGAGAGGGGCTGTATGCTGGCGGCTAGGGGGCAGGCGTGTGGGTTGTACCCTTTGGTTGTTTGATGATGCATGCAGAGGATTGTGATCATTGCAATGAAACAAAATACGATAGGATAAATGTATTCACAGTAAAAATTTTTTAAAAAAGGAAAACCAGGATAGTGTGGTGCCCTGGATGACACAAGAAGTGTTTTAGGAAGGAAGTGATCATGTCAAATAGCGCTAAGAGAGCAAGTAAAATTTGGACTACAAATTGACCATTGAAACTTAAGCATATAAGAGTCATTGACGGGCTTTGACAAGAATAGTTTCAGTGGAGTGGTGGGAATAAAAGCTTGATTGTGATGCGTTTAAGAGGAAAATGGTGAGAGAATTGATGGTTTTTGCTATGAAGGAGAGCATCAACGAAATTAGAAGGGGAGGAGATTTTAGGGAGACTTTTTAAGGATGTGAGGTAGAATATCAAGTTTTATGTTGATGGGAATGGTTTAGTAGAGAGGGAGAAATTAATGATGCAGGAATATAAAGGGATAACTGCAAGTAATTAAGTAAGCAAAGGAGATGAGATCCAATGCACAAATGAAGAGATTGGTATTACATAGCAAGGAAGGTTCGTTTGTTTTAACCATAGGAAAGGCAGAGGGAATGGAAATAGAACGAGTCAATTAGCAGATTTAGTGGTGGAAAATGAGGTCATTTTTTTCTGTTGCTTCCGTTTCTTCAGTGAAGTAAGTCATCAGTGAAGAGTGGTAAGGAAGAAGACAATATTGGAGGCTTGAGAACAGAATACAAGGTGTGCAATAGTCTCCTTGGAATACAAGAGAGTGAATTGTTTAAAGTAATGCAATAGGATCATTGGACACTTAGCTTTCTGGCTATAAATTTAAATTAAAACTTGCAATATATTTCCTTTTTCAGCCTCTGAAAAGGAAAAGCCTTGGCTCTTGCTAGTACCTCAATCTCTCTCCTTCCACTATTTGATAAAATCATATTTTAGAAAGCCCAGCAAAAACAGCTACCTCTCCCATAAAACCTTCATTAGCTCTCCCAGCCAAAGGTAAATTTTGCAACCTTTCATCTCCAAATACTACATTGTTGAAGCCTTGTGTAGAGCAAATATTCCATCTCACATTATGGTTAATTGCTATGTAAGATTAACACTTCCTTGAATAGAGCAACCATTTCTTATTTTTGTTATACTTATTCATGAATGCTTCTTTCCATCCTATCTGTTGTTGTTGCTGTTGTTGTCATCACACTGGATCTGACTTATAGCAACCCTGTGTACAACAGAATGAAACACTGTTTAGTCCTGTACCAACACTATAATCGTCTCCATTTTCAGCCCATTATTGCAGTTACTGTGTCAATTCATATCATTGAAAGTCTTACTCTTTTTGGCTGACCCACTACTTGACCAAGAATGATGTCCTTTTCCAGGGGCTGGTCCTTCTTTGATAACATGGCCAGAGTTCATGAAACGAAGCTTCCCCATTTGGCTTCTATGGAGCATTCATACCTTTTCCAAGACAAATTTGTTTGTTCTTCTGACAGCCCATGATATTTTCAATATTTTTCTCCAACACTATAATTCAAATGAATCAATTCTTTTCCAATCCTCTTTATTCATTGTCCTGCTTTTATGTGCATATGAAACGATGGACAATACCATGGTTTGCGTCAAGTACACTTTTTCCTCAAAGTGATAGCTTTGCTCTCTGACACTTTAAAGAGGTCTTTTGCAGCAGATTTGCCTAATGCAATACCTCATTTGATTTTTGACTACTACTTCCATGAGTGTTGACTGGATCCAAGTAAAATGAAATCCTTGACAACTTCAATATTTTCTGTTTATCATGATATTGTCTATTGGTTCAGTTGTATTTTTGTTTTCTTTACACTGTGTTGTAATCCATACTGAAGACTGTATTCTTTGATCTTCATCAGCAAATGCTTCAAGTCCTCTTTGCTTTTAGCAAGCAAGGTTGTTCCATCTGCATATCACAGGTTATTAATCAGCCTTCTTCCAATCCTAATGTCTTGGTCTTCTTCATATACTCCAGGTTCTCAGATTATTTGCTCAACATACAGCTCAAATAAGTCTGGTGAAAGAATACAACCTTGACACACATCTTTTCTGCTTTGGAATCCCCTTGTTCTATTTGAATGACTGCCTATTGTTCTACGTGCAGGTTCTGTATGAGCACAATTAAATATTTTGGAATTCCTATTCTCCTCAACGTTATCCATAGTTTGTTATGATTCATACAGTTGGATGCTTTTGCATAGGAAATCTTTTTGGTATTCTCTGCTTTCAGCCAAGATCCATCTGATATCAGCAATGATATCCCTCACCTATATTCTCTTCTAAATCCAACTTGAATTTCTGGCAGCTCCCTGTCAATGTACTGCTGCAAATGTTTTTATTTTCAGCAAAATTTTACTTACATGTGAATTAATGATACTGTTAGATAATTTCCATTAGATAATTGAGACCTTTCTTTGGAATGGGTACAAATACAGAAACTGTTTTCCATCTTTCTTGGCATAGACTAGTGCGTGCTTCCAGTGTAGCACCACTTTTTTAAAACATTTCAATTTGTATCCTGTCAGTTCTGGAACCTTGTTTTTCCATGATATATTCAGCTTAGACTCTTCAATACCATCAGTTCTTGGTCACATGATACCGCTTTTAAATGACTGACCTTTAACCATTTCTTTTTGGTACAGGGACTCTGTATTCCTTCCATATTTAAGCAGCAGTCAAGAAATCAAAGGACGTATTGCATTAGGCAAATCTGCTGCATAAGACCTTTTTAAAGTGTTGAAGGGCAAAGATGTCAGTTTGAGGACTAAGGTGTGTCTGACCCAAGCCTTGGTCTTTTCAATAACCTCATATGCATGGGAAAGTTGGACAGTGAATAAGGAAGACCATAGAAGAATTGACGCTTTTGAGTTATGGTGTCGGAGAAGAATATTCAAAGTGCGATGGGCTGCCAAAAGAACCAACAGATCTGTGTTGGAAGAAATGCAGCCAGAGTGCTCCTTGGAAGCCAAGATGGCCAAAGTTCGTCTCTCATACTTTGGACATTTTGTCAGGGGGAATCAGTCACTGGAGAAGGATATCATGTTTGACACAGTGGACGGTCAGAGAAAAAGAGGAAGACCCCCCAACGAGATGGAATGGCCAAGTGGCAGTATTGATGGACTCAAGTGTGGCAACAGTAGTGAGTTTGGCCCAGGATAGAGTAGTGTGCACAAGGTCGCTATGGGTCGGTACCAACTTGATGGCACCTAAGGAACAACAACACTACCAGAGCTCCTTATAGTGATCCTAGGATAGAGTCAAACTACCCCAGAGGATTTTCACAGTTGTAAATCTTAGGAAGCATACCACCACATCTTTCTCCCACATTAACAGCTGGTAGGCGTGAACAACCAAACTTTTGTTTAGCAGTCGATCACTTTAACCACTGTGCCAACAAGGCTGCTTGGGGCAGACGGGATGGAATGCATATGGCAAGTACCAAGAAAGGACTAGTTTAAGTGGGACAGTAGTACTTCCTTTAGTCAATTTATATATAAGTGGTTTTCTAGGGCAGCCCAGTATTGTTGCAGTGCAAGTAGAGAGCTGCTAATGTGCAAAATAACCATAGGCCCCTTGCCTTGCAACAGCCATGAGGAATCCCCTCCCCCACGCCCTTTCGCAATCTGGGTGATCCACTGATGCAGACTTTGGTATGAAAAAAAAAACAAGCTCTGGTACAAAGGCAAAAATACGCTTGCAAATAAAGAATTAGAAGCTTCGAGGAACCCCGCAGTGTAACACGGTGCCAGACTCCGTAACCGCGAGCAGGGACCCGGCGTTACATAACCGCCGTCGCGCCCCCACCCAGAGCAGGCGAGTAGTGCGGTTTGCGAACTCCGGAAGCATCCGCCTCTTTTCACTAGTACGGACGTCGTCGCTGACGCCATCGCGTAGGCCTGGCCCTATAATCGCGAACTAGAAACGCTTCTCTCACTCCGCACTTCCGCTTCCTTCCAGTAAGGAGCCGGTGTTTCCCCCTCAGTTTTTTTTTTCATACAGAAGGTGGCTATGTTCGGCTTGAAGAAAAACGCGGTAATAGGACTCAACCTCTACTTGGGGGCGGGGCCCGGGTTGGGTACCGGCGGCGGTGCCTCCACGCCTGGAGGGCGACTTTCGACTTCTGGAAAGGAGGCCTCGACCCACAGAGAGGTAGGGGCAGGGGAAGCCGGCGCGGTAAGTGGCGGAAGCGCCGGCGAGAACCCCCGGGCCGCTCCTCTCGTGCCAAAGGGCCTGAGGGTCGCGCGGAAGGCGCCCATTGGCGCTGAAGGCCCCGACGTCACCGCGACCCCCGCGAGGCCGACGTTCTTTGCGGCCACTCGCCGCGCGTCGCCTGAGGAGATGGAAGCCTTGGCCGCCGACGCCATCATGTCGCCCGAAGAGGAGCTGGACGGGTACGAGCCGGAGCCACTCGGGAAGCGGCCGGCTGTGCTTCCTCTGCTGGGGCGGGTCGGGGAGGCCAGTAATGTCCCCGGTACGGACGGGTCACTACCTTCGACGCCCCCAGAACTGGAGGAAGAGGATGA